GGAGGCGGCGCAGCTGCGGCACCGCCCCGTGCCGGCGGCGGAGGAGGAGGAGGTGGCGGTGGGGCGGCTGCCGCACTCGCTCCTCCTCGAGCAGGGGGTGGCGGAGGAGGCGGCGGCGCTGGAGACGACGTGGACGCTGTCGATGCGTTGCCGGCGCGGGATCGAGGCGCAGGTGGTGGAGGCGGGGCCTTCCTCTTGCTCGTGGGCGCCGGCGGTGGGACCTTTTTGGCCTTTGGCTGGCTCGGTGGCGCGGGCTTGGCGGCGGCACCGGGCCCGCCCCTTTTTCCGACAAAGTCCTTGATAAAGTTTTCGTTTTTGCGAATGTCTTTTTCGCTGACGCCCATGCTGCCGAGCTGGTCGAGGAGGGCCTGCCAGCTGGGATCGACGTTTTCGCTGCTGAAGCCGTGTTCGGCGGTGAAGCCCATGTGGGCGACGTGCTTGAAGCCCGAGGGTGCGCCGATCATTGACTTGTCGATCTTGCCGGTGGAGCCCTTTTTCTTCTTGTGGGTCGACGAGACGGCGGCCGACTTTGACTTTGCGTACTTTGCGCGGTTGGAGACCTTTTTGAAGAGGTCGCCGGCCTCGGTCTCGTCGGCAAACGAGAAGCCGACCATGCACTCGTCGCCCTCGAACGAGTGGAAAAAGGTGCGGTCCTGGTTGTAGGTGAAGCCGTCGTAGAGCTCGTGCTGCCAGATGACGCCGCGGGTTCCCTTGAGGTCAACGACCTTGAAGTAGAAGGTGGCCTTGGAGAGGTCGCGGACAAAGGCGATGGCGCCCTCGATGCCGGCATAGTCCCACTTGAGCGGGTTGGGCGAGGTGGCGTACACGCGTCCGACGGTGGCGGTGATGATTTTGTTGGTCGACGAGGGGATGGCCGACTTGACCTTGGACTTGTCCGAGGACGAGATGGTGGATGACGAGGGCATGTCGTGCGGGCGTGCTGCCAGGCGGGGGGATGGTGCGGGACAAGAGTGCGAGGGATGGTGGTGCTACGAGTGTCTAAAGTGCTTCTCTCCGGTCCACCTTGCGATTACGATGTAGGTGGTGAGGGGGATGAGGAGGGGGAGGAAGTGGGCGAGGCTGTGCGGGAAGACGAGATAGGAGGGGGCGCCGTTATCGGATGGGGCCAGCGGGAGGAGGTAGTCGAGTGCGCCAAAGAGGGTGGGTAGGGTGGTGAGGAGGAAGAGGAGGCTCGAGGCGATGAGGCAGTTTGCGGACCTGATTTGGCGTGCGCGCGAGGTCGAAGGCGGTGCCTGGAGGAACGAGGTAGGAGAGGGGCGAGGCAGAGTGGCCATGCAGTGGACGGTGGTGGGTATGTTGCTGTATGTTGCTGGAGTGAAGGAGAGGGCCGAGGGCGGGAGGTAGGAGAAGCGTTGAAGGTTATGGTGGTGGTGGACAAGAGCCCGAGGGCGAGAGCGAGGGCGAGGCTAGGGCGACGGGAGGCGCTCAGCCAGCCAAAGTGGAGGAAGTCGACGATGCACCGCCTCAGAGGCCACAGCTGGCTCGCCTGCCCCTTGGCTGCCCTGCCTGCCTGCCAGTGGCCCCTGCCCGCACGGCTCTGCTGCCCTGCACTCACAACTGTAGCTGATCCTTGGCCAGCCAAGGCCAGGCCGGCCCTCTGTCTGGCCCACACCGGGTCCAAGGGTCGAGCCACGCTATCAGCCCAGCCCAGCCCAGCCTTGCCCAGCACCGCGTGATCGGCCCTCGTTGCCGCCTTCGCCTTCGCCCCCACCACCACCACCACCACAATCAACACCATCAACACCCACCCACCGCACCTTGTTGCCTTTCTTCTCAAACCCCATCAGCCATTTGGCTCGCATCTGGCGACCGCTCCATTCACCACCACACCCCACAAAGACCTGCTCAGTCTCGTCGGCCCAACATGTCCCTGCCCAAGCGCATCATCAAGGTGAGCCATCGTGGGGCCCCCTTCTTTCCCCTGCCTCCATGCGGCCTTCCTCCTACCTCGCACCCTCGCTCACTCCCCTTGCCCTCTCCTCCGACCTCTTCTTCGCTCCTCTTCGCCGCAGGAAACGGAGCGCCTCATCGCCGACCCGGCACCGGGCATCAGCGCCACGCCCCACGAGGACAACCTGCGCTACTTTGACGTCGTCATCTCGGGTCCCTCCCAAAGTCCCTTTGAAGGTACGCAACCCACGCCCTCCTCGTCGCCGCCGCCGTCGTCGTCGTCGTCGAGAGCCGCCCGTTCACCCATCCCACGCCCACCTTACCGTCGCTTCTGCTGCTGGTCCGCTCCCCCCCCGGCGCATACAGGTGGCGTCTTCCGGCTCGAGCTCTTCCTGCCCGAAGAGTACCCCATGTCGGCGCCCAAGGTCCGCTTCCTCACAAAAATCTACCACCCAAACATTGGTGAGCACCTCGTCCGGACCGGCTGACACTCCCTGCTTGCTGCCACCGCTGACTCGACGCCGCCCGGATCTGCCCACTACCGCCCCCGCAGACAAGCTCGGGAGGATCTGCCTCGACATTCTCAAGGGTGAGCCGCCGCCGCGTGCCAGCGACGATGCCACCGCCTTCACCGACTCGACTTGCAGCTGAACCCCATCTTCTCCCGGCTTGCCCGTCACCTGGGCCCGCTCTGCAGACAAGTGGTCGCCAGCTCTCCAGATCCGCACCGTCCTCCTCTCGATCCAGGCTCTCCTCTCGGCGCCCAACCCCGACGACCCGTTGGCAAACGACGTCGCCGAGCACTACAAGACCGATGAAAAGGGGTGCGTGGCGTGGCTGGCCGCTCGGTCTCTGCCGCTTCTCGTCCGTCCCAGGATATTGCCTTGCTCATCACCCTCCTTCTCCCTGTCTCCGTGCCGCTCTTGCCTCTCTTCGCCCGCCCACAGCGCCATCGAGGTCAGCAGGCAATGGACCGCCCAGTACGCAAAGTGAAAAAGGCCACTCTCCCCGTCGGCCGTCGGCCATCGCCTCCTCGCGAGGCCCGCCATGAGGACGGTACGGCTCTCGAGCGTCACCAATGGGCTTCCTCTGTATTCTCGCATTCCCCCGGCTCCTTCCAGCCCGACGCCGAGCCGAGTTCGCACGTCTAAGATAAGATAAAGAAGAGACGAGGAGAGGAGAGAAGGAGATCCGACGGCAGACCAAGCGGGAAGCGCCCACGAGTCTCGTGCGCTCGCCGCTCAGTGCTTGCCGGACCCTTCGAGGGCCATGGCGAGGATATCATCGAAGCGGGTCCTGGCCAGGCGGAGTCCTGGCATCTGCTCGTCCTGCGGGATCTCTGGATCCTCGATGGTTCCGCCGATACCCGCGCCTCTGGCCTCGTCGAGCTCCGACTCGGGTTCCTGGAGCATGATGGCGCCCACCTTTCTCGCGAGTCTGCTCTCGTAAAAGGCGATGAGGAAGAGGGGCAGTCCAAAGACGACTGACTGGATGCCGTAGTTGAGGCGCGCATAGGCGTGGCGCGGCAGGACGTACTCGAGCGGCGCAATGAGGAAGACCTCGATCAGGTTAAACGGCGCCAGGTAGACGTACTGGTCCGGCGCGCGCACCATGCCAATGACCTTTTCGCTGAAAAAACCGGCGTAGGTGTCGTGGGCCGACTCGACGACGTCGCTGTATGCCGTGCCGAAAAAGGCGACGAGGACATTGAGCAGGATGACGGCGATGAGGAAGCAGTAGGCCTGGTAGAGGACCTTGCTGAAGATGCTCTGGTCGCTGAAGAGATCGAAATCGGCGCCGCCCAGGAGCGTCTGGGTGAGGTTGTCGATGATCTTTACGACGGCGTCGTCGATGCGCGACTCGTCTGCGGCGTCGAGGGCGTAAAAGGCGTGGAAGAAGCCGACCATGACGAGGGCGAGGAGCGTGAAAAAGATGGCCGTCTCCTTTGCCATGCGGAGGATGATGACCTGGAGGATGCCAAAGTAGACGAAGCCGTCGAATAGCTTGAGCAGCTGGATCCAGACGAGCGGGGCGACGCAGGCGAGGAACTGGAACGCGCGCAGCTGGTACAGGTCGGCGGCGGCGTGGCCGTGGGCGACGAAGCTGGCGATGCGCAGGCTAAAGGAGACGAGAAAGAGGCCGTTGGTCGCCACGTCGAGCACCGTCCAGAAGGTGATGGAGTCGATGCCGCCAATCTTGATCCAGCGCGAGGCGTCCTCGATAATGTAGCCGGCGGCCATGACCCAGAGCAGGCCCTCGGCCAGGTCAAACTCCTTGTAGGTGCGCGTCTGGACGGTGAAGAGGACGAGGAAGAAGATCCAGATGGTGATGTTGATGACGTACGAGTAGCGCGGCACGGCCAGGCGCGCCGGGTCAAAGTGGGCCAGAAAGGCGCCGTCGTCGCGCGCCTCGTAGGGCTCAAAGTACGAGTAGCCGTCCGGGCCGTACCTCTGCACCAGGTCGCCGCTCCAGATGGCGCCGACGACCTTCTGGCTCTCGGTCGAAGAGAGGAGGATGGTCGTGTGCTGGTCAATGGCCGACTCGAGCGCCGACGTGGGCAGGCTGACGTCGCCGTCGGCCTCGATGCGGCGGAACTTTTTCGTCAGGCAGAGGTGGCTCTGCGCCTGGCCCCCCGCGACGGCGAGGCGCTCGATGTGCGCCACGAGGCGGCGGGCGACGACGACG